AAGGTGGCGGAACTCAAACCTGGCCACGCCCTCATCAAACCCTAGGACCGCCCCTTTAGAGAACAGGAATGCAAGTAAAATTTGGGAGGGGCTATTTCCGGTGTGGGAGGGGCTATTTCCGGTGCGGCCGGCCCGGAAAAAGGTGCCGGAACGCGGTTCCGCCGCGTTCCGGCTGAAAAAAAGCCCTGGCTATAAGCAATATTTACTGTGAATAATCTATTCTTAACTTTGAAAGTTATTGTATTGGTGCATTTCCTTCTGGCCTCTTGTTAATTTCTATTTCACTTGAAATTTATAAAGAGCTGGCCATTCTTGCACTAAAACTGGTGGCATATCTTTCCAGCTTTTTTACATTAAAATTGCTGTTCATCACAAACTACCTTGTTAGAAATGAGGATATTTAGATACATACATCATATTGAAAATCAGCATGGCCAACAGGAAGTAAAGCTTGGGAGGAGAAATACAAATAGAATTTGTAAATATCAGAATAGTGGCTGACCCAAGGTATATAGCTTCACAGAAGAAAAAACATGCTTTTGTAAGGAATGTGAGTCCTCTGAAGTCAGATATGATTGTTGAGAAATGCTAATTTAACTCCCATAATCTCAAGAGGAAGGAGAGACCAAGGTGCTAAACCTTTGATCTGACTCATTCTAGGCATCAATGGAGTGCCAGTTGCAGAAAACTTCCGTATGGAAGAAGCCACCCTCTCAGACAAAATTGCTGAGGGTCAAGTTAAAGTCCGTACACTTTATTTGTCTGTGGATCCTTACATGGTAAGTGGGTATAATGAAAATATTAAAATATCTGAAGAATATTTGGCCAGTTGATTCTTCATGTGATCTGCCAGTCATGTGTCACTGTAAATAGTGATTTATGGCAATAATACTAATAATACTAATAATAATAATAATAAACGTTGGAAGATACCTTGGAGGTCATCTAGTCCAACCCCCTGCTCAGGCAGGAAACCCTATACCAGTGATGGTGAACCTTTTAGAGACCGAGTGCCCAAAAACTGGCCCTGCCCCCGCTCCACCCTCTCCCCCGCCCCGCTCCACCCCATCCGCCGCCCCGCCTGCCTGCAGAGCCACTCACCGCCTCCAGGGCTCGCCACAGATCGCCCAGGCAGCCCAGCAGCGCTATGGAGGTCACGCCCTCTGCCCACGCCCTGCAGCATCAACTGTGCATGATGGGGTGTGAGGGCAGAGTCTTGTCTATGCTGCCTGGCTGCCATGTCCTTGGCTGCGCTGCTTCGGGTGGGCCACGCTCAGGGGCGACTCTCCTTCAGGGGGGCTGCTGGAGAGGAGGGGGTTGTGGGGGGAGGCGAGGCTGGGGCAACGGCACGTGTGCCCACAGAGAGGGCTCCGAGTGCCGCCTCTGGCACCCGTGCCATAGGTTCACCACCACTGCCCTATACCATTTCAGACAAATGGCTGTCCAGTCTAACAGAAGGGAATATTTTGTTTTGCATAAATGCCCATGACCACAATTATAACACACATACTGCAAAGTATTTGGAAAGTACCTGAGCTTTTGGTTTCCTCCTTCCATGCAGATTGCTAATATGAATATGGAAAGTATTGTAGCTTCTACAATTGAAGCCAGTGTAACTGGGAGAAAGAATCATAAGAAGATCTCTGAATATATGTAAACCTTATACCATACATTAATTCCATTCTGAAAAAGTGTACAACTATTCTGTATGTTGTAATAAAAAAATTCCAGCATTGGAATTTACTTTAGTTAATGTGAAGTAAACTTGGAGTTCTTTGTATAATAACTTCACTAATTACATTCATTTTCCACAGGATTACATCAGAAATTTGTGTTGCATAATTTGAATTATGATTTTTTTTCTAAGATGTATCATACGAACCAGAACAACCTCTTAGTCTGTCAGTAATAAAAATACGACCCTTATTCTTCCTTCTTAAGCTTTTAAAGGATTTATTGTATTATTTAGCAGTTTCCATATTTTTATTCTGACTAATATTAAAATCCTTGTAGCTTCATGTTTTGGCCAGCTATGTGTTTCTTGACAAAGAGAAAAGGATTGTGCTTTAAAGGATTCTCTTGCTATAAATAATTGTCTTTTAGCGGTGTCGTATGAATGAAGATGCTGACTTTGACTACCTCCAGACTTGGAAATTGTCTGAAGTTGCTGATGGAGGTGGAATTGGTTGTGTGGAAGAAAGCAGAGATGTGCATTTTGCTCCAGGAGACTTTGTGACTTCCTTTACCTGGCCCTGGCAGACCAAAGCCATTTTAGACGGAAAGCAACTGAAGAAGGTAGCATGGTGGCACTTGTTTCCACTTCCTTTGGAGAAAAACAAGATAGATGAGTGTGCTCTGATCTCTAGCAATATGTGATTAAAGACTATGGATATCCATGGGGAGGGGGTTGAATGGAGACATGTAATGACAGTGCCCCAGGAGCAAGTATATAATAATAACATGTATGTGATGATGTTACTGCAGTTTACTGAGGATATCACTGTTAAAGAACAACCCCCACCATTTTTATCATGTGCACAGTTGTTTATGGCACAGCATCCAAGGTGGTACCAAAAATGTGGTTTTTAGCTGAGTACCAAAGGAACAAAGTTATACTGTTATACAGATAATTTTTGACTCTTTGTGTGTGCCTTTGAGTCAGCTTTTTGCATCCTGGCAACTGTCTAAACAATTCCTGCAGTTTTTTTTCCCACATTTTCAGAAGTGGTTAGCCATTGCCTGTTTCATAGAGCTAAGAGAGAGTGACTGGCCCAACTATCAAGGTAGCTTCATATCTAAGGCAGGGCTGGAACTCAGTGTTTCTCAGTTTCTAGCCTGATGCCTTAACCATTGTACTAAACTAGCTTCAAATAGGACCACAAAACTTAAAAAAAAAAAAGACAAAAAATGTCTACCAACTTTGAACTTTTTCAAAAAAAATCCAGCCAAAAAATCTGAATGGATCTTGACTAGAATGATAATGCTTAATTCAATCTGAAACTTTTTTTTCTTCAGATCGAACAAGACCTTGTAGATGGACACCTTTCCTATTTCTTGGGTGCAGCTGGCTTGACTGGGCTGACATCTTTGCTGGGAATCAGAGAGAAAGGACATGTATCTCCAGGCTCTAATCAAACCCTGGTTGTCAGTGGAGCTGCTGGTGCTTGCGGCTCCCTGGCTGGGCAGGTAAGAAGCTATAAACTCAGTCTAATTTGTATTATTTGGACATATGGAAGCCACTATATATTTTTTTCTATACCTCAGGAATGGATAGATTTTTCTCATGGGATACATACATATATACNTAGTGAGGCATTTTAGCACTTCTAGCTATTTCTCCCTTCTACATTCTGTTCTTTGCCAATCTGTTCTCTACCTTTTGTATCTGTGAACTTGTTTCCTTTCAACAAAGCGCGTTCTAAAGACTGTGAAGAAACACAGTCTTCTGCACTATTTCCTGACAAATGCTCCAAGCCATGCTTTATTGTCTGTATTTTTATGGATAGGTAGTGCAGAACTACCGGTAATTAATTCAATCTGCCCTCCTCATATGCACTTTCCTATAATTTCACCTCATTCTTACCCTAAACAAAGGTACATAGCTTTTCATAAGCCAAGGGATGCATTTGCTGAAAATGAACCTCCCCAAAGTAGAATGCAAGGAGGACAAAAAGAAAAAATATGTTACAAAATTTACATTGAATTTTATTTATATTAAAATTGATATTATTGTTTCCATTTCCCAAATTTATTTATTTTTTCCTTCCAGGTATGTTAAGAATACAATTGGTTGAGCAGTTTTGGAGGGGTCCTGGTGCCATACCCAAAATCTTCAGAAAATACATAGGGCTCTTAGTTACGTATATAAGTCTACCATAAAACCAAAACCATATGCTTGTGTTTAATCATTTGTTAGATATTTAAACTGCTTACTGGCAATTGCCCTCTAGGTGGTATTAAACATTGTCAATTTTTTTTTTACAGAGAATCTGATTTTCATCTGTGCCAGATTTTTGCTGGAGGGCTGATGAAAATTCAAAGAGTGGTATTGCATTCACGCCCTGGTATGTTTCTACTTGTTAGAGAACATATTTGAGTTTTGTGTCTTTGTAGAACGTTGTAAATGGGAAGAGAAAAGGCATTAAAGAGATCGATTTCTGATGTGCACATCCAAAGCTTGTTATACAAGTCTTCAACAAGACATTCTTAGCAGACATTTTCTAATTACAGATATGTTGGTGAGAATTTTTCAGTTTGTGTAAGAGCAAAAATATATAAACAAATAACCTAAATAACATTGAAGTATGAAATGTGGAAAGTGCTGTAAACAATTTTGTATGTTTTAAATTGTGTACTCATGATTTCTAACAGTAGCTATAAGCAGGGCTTTTTTTCTCGGAGAAAAGGTGGCGGAACTCAAACCTGGCCACGCCCTCATCAAACCCTAGGACCGCCCCTTTAGAGAACAGGAATGCAAGTAAAATTTGGGAGGGGCTATTTCCGGTGTGGGAGGGGCTATTTCCGGTGCGGCCGGCCCGGAAAAAGGTGCCGGAACGCGGTTCCGCCGCGTTCNTAGTGAGGCATTTTAGCACTTCTAGCTATTTCTCCCTTCTACATTCTGTTCTTTGCCAATCTGTTCTCTACCTTTTGTATCTGTGAACTTGTTTCCTTTCAACAAAGCGCGTTCTAAAGACTGTGAAGAAACACAGTCTTCTGCACTATTTCCTGACAAATGCTCCAAGCCATGCTTTATTGTCTGTATTTTTATGGATGGGTAGTGCAGAACTACCGGTAATTAATTCAATCTGCCCTCCTCATATGCACTTTCCTATAATTTCACCTCATTCTTACCCTAAACAAAGGTACATAGCTTTTCATAAGCCAAGGGATGCATTTGCTGAAAATGGACCTCCCCAAAGTAGAATGCAAGGAGGACAAAAAGAATAAATATGTTACAACATTTACATTGAATTTTATTTATATTAAAATTGATATTATTGTTTCCATTTCCCAAATTTATTTATTTTTTCCTTCCAGGTATGTTAAGAATACAATTGGTTGAGCAGTTTTGGAGGGGCCCTGGTGCCATACCCAAAATCTTCAGAAAATACATAGGGCTCTTAGTTATACAAGTCTACCATAAAACGAAAACCATATGCTTGTGTTTAATCATTTGTTAGATATTTAAACTGCTTACTGGCAATTGCCCTCTAGGTGGTATTAAACATTGTCAATTTTTTTTTACAGAGAATCTGATTTTCATCTGTGCCAGATTTTTGCTGGAGGGCTGATGAAAATTCAAAGAGTGGTATTGCATTCACGCCCTGGTATGTTTCTACTTGTTAGAGAACATATTTGAGTTTTGTGTCTTTGTAGAACGTTGTAAATGGGAAGAGAAAAGGCATTAAAGAGATCGATTTCTGATGTGCACATCCAAAGCCTTCAACAAGACATTCTTAGCAGACATTTTCTAATTACAGATATGTTGGTGAGAATTTTTCAGTTTGTGTAAGAGCAAAAATATATAAACAACCTAAATAACATTGAAATATGAAATGTGGAAAGTGCTGTAAACAATTTTGTATGTTTTAAATTGTGTACTCATGATTTCTAACAGTAGCTATAAGCAATATTTACTGTGAATAATCTATTCTTAACTTTGAAAGTTATTGTATTGGTGCATTTCCTTCTGGCCATTCTTGCACTAAAACTGGTGGCATATCTTTCCAGCTTTTTTACATTAAAATTGCTGTTCATCACAAACTACCTTGTTAGAAATGAGGATATTTAGATACATACATCATATTGAAAATCAGCATGGCCAACAGGAAGCAAAGCTTGGGAGGAGAAATACAAATAGAATTTGTAAAAATCAGAATAGTGGCTGACCCAAGGTATATAGCTTCACAGAAGAAAAACATGCTTTTGTAAGGAATGTGAGTCCTCTGAAGTCAGATATGATTGTTGAGAAATGCTAATTTAACTCCCATAATCTCAAGAGGAAGGAGAGACCAAGGTGCTAAACCTTTGATCTGACTCATTCTAGGCATCAATGGAGTGCCAGTTGCAGAAAACTTCCGTATGGAAGAAGCCACCCTCTCAGACAAAATTGCTGAGGGTCAAGTTAAAGTCCGTACACTTTATTTGTCTGTGGATCCTTACATGGTAAGTGGGTATAATGAAAATATTAAAATATCTGAAGAATATTTGGCCAGTTGATTCTTCATGTGATCTGCCAGTCATGTGTCACTGTAAATAGTGATTTATGGCAATAATATTAATAATACTAATACTAATAATAATAAAAGTTGGAAGATACCTTAGAGGTCATCTAGTCCAACCCCCTGCTCAGGCAGGAAACCCTATACCAGTGATGGCGAACCTTTTAGAGACCGAGTGCCCAAAAACTGGTCCTGCCCCCGCTCCACCCTCTCCCCCGCCCCTGCTCCGCCCCATCCGCCGCCCCGCCTGCCTGCAGAGCCACTCACCGCCTCCAGGGCCCGCCGCAGATCGCCCAGGCAGCCCAGCAGCACTATGGCGGTCACGCCCTCTGCCCACGCCCTGCAGCATCAACTGTGCATGATGGGGTGTGAGGGCAGAGTCTTTTCTACGCTGCCTGGCTGCCATGTCCTTGGCTGCGCTGCTCCAGGTGGGCCACGCTCAGGGGCGACTCTCCTTCAGGGGGGCTGCTGGAGAGGAGGGGGTCGTGGGGGGAGGGGAGGCTGGGGCAACGGCACGTGTGCCCACAGAGAGGGCTCTGAGTGCCGCCTCTGGCACCCGTGCCATAGATTCGCCACCACTGCCCTATACCATTTCAGACAAATGGCTGTCCAGTCTAACAGAAGGGAATATTTTGTTTTGCATAAATGCCCATGACCAAATACTGCAAAGTATTTGGAAAGTACCTGAGCTTTTGGTTTCCTCCTTCCATGCAGATTGCTAATATGAATATGGAAAGTATTGTAGCTTCTACAATTGAAGCCAGTGTAACTGGGAGAAAGAATCATAAGAAGATCTCTGAATATATGTAAACCTTATACCATACATTAATTCCATTCTGAAAAAGTGTACAAATATTCTGTATGTTGTAATAAAAAATTTCCAGCATTGGAATTTACTTTAGTTAATGTGAAGTAAACTTAGAGTTCTTTGTATAATAACTTCACTAATTACATTCATTTTCCACAGGATTACATCAGAAATTTGTGTTGCATAATTTGAATTATGATTTTTTTTCTAAGATGTATCATATGAACCAGAACAACCTCTTAGTCTGTCAGTAATAAAAATACGACCCTTATTCTTCCTTCTTAAGCTTTTAAAGGATTTATTGTATTATTTAGCAGTTTCCATATTTTTATTCTGACTAACATTAAAATCCTTGTAGCTTCATGTTTTGGCCAGCTATGTGTTTCTTGACAAAGAGAAAAGGATTGTGCTTTAAAGGATTCTCTTGCTATAAATAATTGTCTTTTAGCGGTGTCGTATGAATGAAGATGCTGACTTTGACTACCTCCAGACTTGGAAATTGTCTGAAGTTACTGATGGAGGTGGAATTGGTTGTGTGGAAGAAAGCAGAGATGTGCATTTTGCTCCAGGAGACTTTGTGACTTCCTTTACCTGGCCCTGGCAGACCAAAGCCATTTTAGACGGAAAGCAACTGAAGAAGGTAGCATGGTGGCACTTGTTTCCATTTCCTTTGGAGAAAAACAATATAGATGAGTGTGCCCTGACCTCTAGCAATATGTGATTAAAGACTATGGATATCCATGGGGAGGGGGTTGAATGGAGACATGTAATGACAGTGCCCCAGGAGCAAGTATATAATAATAACATGTATGTGATGATGTTACTGCAGTTTATTGAGGATATCACTGTTAAAGAACAACCCCCGCCATTTTTATCATTTGCACAGTTGTTTATGGCACAGCATCCAAGGTGGTACCAAAAATGTGGTTTTTAGCTGAGTACCAAAGGAACAAAGTTATACTGTTATACAGATAATTTTTGACTCTGTGTGTGTGCCTTTGAGTCAGCTTTTTGCATCCTGGCAACTGTCTAAACAATTCCTGCAGTTTTTTCCCCCCACATTTTCAGAAGTGGTTAGCCATTGCCTGTTTCATAGAGCTAAGAGAGAGTGACTGGCCCAACTATCAAGGTAGCTTCATATCTAAGGCAGGGCTGGAACTCAGTGTTTCTCAGTTTCTAGCCTGATGCCTTAACCATTGTACTAAACTAGCTTCAAATAGGACCACGAAACTTAAAAAAAAAAGACAAAAAATGTCTACCAACTTTGAACTTTTTCAAAAAAAATCCAGCCAAAAAATCTGAATGGATCTTGACTAGAATGATAATGCTTAATTCAATCTGAAACTTTTTTTTTTCAGATCGAACAAGACCTTGTAGATGGACACCTTTCCTATTTCTTGGGTGCAGCTGGCTTGACTGGGCTGACATCTTTGCTGGGAATCAGAGAAAAAGGACATGTATCTCCAGGCTCTAATCAAACCCTGGTTGTCAGTGGAGCTGCTGGTGCTTGCGGCTCCCTGGCTGGGCAGGTAAGAAGCTATAAACTCAGTCTAATTTGTATTATTTGGACATATGGAAGCCACTATATATTTTTTTCTATACCTCAGGAATGGATAGATTTTTCTCATGGGATACATACATATATACCATGATAAAATCTATCTGTTCCTGATGTATAAAAAAATATATAGTAGCTTCCATATGTCCAAATAATACAAATTTCCCCCCAAATATATATATAAATATTTGGATCAGAGACAGAGTTCAAAGATACAACAGTATCTTAAGCTTTGCAGAGGTGAAAGTTTATCCTGAAATCATCTCAGCTGCAATCAAGCCAACATTCCCAATTTGAGAAGACTTAGGGGCATGGGTGCAAGTCTTAAACATGTTTCAAAACTCTCCAAAACAAAAAAAAAAGGTCTAAATAT